GGGGGGGGGCAGTTGGTGGCGATCAGGCCAGCAAGGGGGGGCAGTTGGGGGTGAGAAGGCCGGCAGGCAGAGTGGTTAGGAGTGATCAGGCAGGCAAGCAGGTGAGCAGTTAGGAACCATCAGTCCCAGATTGCGAGAGGGTGCAGGCCGGGCTGAGGGACACCCCACCCCACGCACGAATTTTGTGCACCAGGCCACTAGTATATATATAAAAGGCCAATATGCAAAGTATCCCCTCAGGAGTTCGACCAGGAGACCAGGAGTTTGATTGCTCACTATGACATGCATTGACCACCAGGAGTGGTGTGGAATGAAAGAAGGCCCCAGGACAGCCTGAAGGAAGGCCCCTGCCAGCAGCCGGAAGGGCCCGATTGGTCCTGACCACCTGCCAAGCCTAGGGACCCTACCCATGCATGAATTTTGTTCACTGGGACTCTAGTAATAATAATAATAAGCCGCTTAAGGGCGATGGGGAGTGTGGGATGATAGGGCTGCTGTTTTAAATAGGGTTATCAGAGAGGACTTCATTGAGAAGGTGACATGTGGGCAGAGGCCTGAATAAAGTGAAGGAGTGATCCCTGATATTTAGAGGAAGAACCTTCAAGGCAGAGGGAACAGCTGGTGCAAATGCCCATGTTATCTTCACCATCTGCCCACTTCTTCCCTCCAGGCAAAGGTGTTCCTGGCTACTCCATCTGTCCACCTTGTTGCCCAATAGAAAGCAGCACTCCCTTCCCCAGTAAGGCCGGTCAAGTCCTAGGATAGGAGCTCATAGATCGCATTTGGATCACATGCCCGCCCTGAACCAATCACCGTGCTCCGGGGGATGGAGCGTTTTATGGGCTAATCTGGGGCTGGCAGGAGCAATCAGGTAGGTATCACCCCTCCCCAGGCATGTACCTTTGTGGGGTGTTTACCCCGTTTAAGCTCAGCCCAAGCAAATAGCTTTTATGGTTTGTTCCAAAATTACTTGCCACATTATTAAAAGAACTTCACACTCCGTATAAAATGCCGAATATACAGA